CTATTTTTCTCGAAATATAGACAGTCTAATGACTGATATATGAGAAAAAGTAGTACCTCGGCATGTATATATTTGTATATAAATAGCATCATAAAATTCTCAGAAGTTACTTTTCGAGTTCATATTAAAAGATATACATTTATTTCAAGAGTACTAAAATATGTCACTTTGTGGAGTTTTTAAAAGAATTAATAATATTTAGATACGAATATGACAAACACTTTTACTAACTCGTAAGTCAATAGATAAGTTTTATTATACTTTGTAACTTATTCGTACAATTTTTATTTCCAATTTCAACAGCTAAACATGTTAACGCTTTCTAACGTCTTTTAGAGTAGCACAAAATGTTTTTTTAAAAAGCTTGAAAAACTAATTTGTGTGACTAAACCCTTTCAGGACCGGTGGCACTTTAAAATGTCATTAAAACGTCAAAAATCGGAATAAGCCGTGTTTTCCAAAATTTTCTTTTGAAGAAACGTCCCTCAAACTTCGATCATAATCAAATTTCAAATACATCATCTTATGCAGTTTTTGACGCTCTATCTTTTGATGTATAATACATTTGATTAATATGTAATTCTGAGTTAGAAATCTAAGTTTTTCCGAAAATTTCTGTCCTTCACAGTAGAAAAGGGTTTTGAGTACGAAGACGGAATCGAAAGTCAAAAATGTTTTTGTCAGTAGATAGCTCTTGAAATTCTCTATCGAGACATTGCCATTTGAATTTTTTTGTCGAAAATCTCTCGGTTAGGAAAAACGAAATACTGAAGATGCGTTTATATTTACCATATAAGTATTATTCATGTAATCATACAGCAGCAAGTTCTAATACATCGTTGATATTTGCATTTCGAAATGATATCAGTGAGTGGGATCTTGATGATGTGAGTGTTATCGGTCTAAGTGGAAATGTTATTATTAATGGTGGATTTGAGACAACATTAGCACCATGGAAATATTCTAATCCATTCAATGCCGGTGGGTTATCTGGTATTGGAAATATGAATTCACATACTGGAACTAATTATTATTCAGCAGCAGCCTATGGAGCTGTCGATTATTTGATACAATCATTTTCAACCGTTACAGGTCTATTGTATAATATTAGCTTCTATTTATATGAACAAAGTGCTACTGGTAGTAGTTCGTCTGATGTTTGTTCAGTTAACGTTACCGTTATATAAACATAACAGTTTGAACGAATGCTCGCTCTATCACAGATTTTTTTCTTTTTTTTTCAAGAAAAGTTATTGTGAAATTAGCTTTCTCATTAGAATGTTTTATTAAAGCTTTTTGTTGTAGTTTCGTAGTTATTACTTAAAAAATCAACAACATTTTTTTCAAGTAATTATATCTGTACAAAAATATAGATGAAAGTTAAATAATGTTGATGAATTCATTGCTTGATTAAATACGAGTGCAAGGACCAAACCAATACGATTATCCAGCACTAAAAGTAATATCTATTTAGGGAATCCGGATGATCTATTATCACCAGGTTTTCTAGTTTGAAATTCCTAACCTGCTTGCAAAGCCACCATGGACGTTGACTTTTTATGTGGTTTCTGAGCTGTACAACAATGAATGCTATTTTGAACATTGGAATAAAGTAATACTGAACGACAACAATGCCGAAATCAACAATCCACACGGCGTTGTTTTGTCGTAAGATGACATTGCCATAGGCAGTTTTACGTAAGTGTCAGATTTTTCTTTTGATTGTTTTGCATCACAAGTCTTTTGTCTATTTTAGAATTCGTACGTGGTTGTTGAATATTGCTAGGTCAGACAGGAAAAAGTAATATTTGAAAATTTTTCTCTATTAATTCAAATAATAAGAAAAAAAGTTATAGGCCATGGTAGTAGTGCTCAAAAAAGAATAAAAAGGGTGTCTGGACACATAGAGATGTAATATTTCTATAAAAATAGAAGAAGAGAAACTTCTGTATACCATTCTATTTTCTTTTCGATACTCTTTGTATCTGACATATAATTTTCTTTACTAAGTTACGGAGCTAGTTTCTTTATATAGGATATCATGTTTTCATATTAGTCCAAAACAGGGCTGCAAACAGAATGCGATGGATCAAACAAAGAAACATTTTTCGTTTCTACCTTTCTGGTGTTCTCCGCTGCAACATTGTAATTAGTGAAACACTTCACTCAAATCCTATGTTCATTTCTCGTTTGAATTTCTTTTGATCAGACTGTTTTTTTTTTTAATGTAAACATACTGGATTCTACACTGGATGAAACGCTGATTCCATAGTTGAGTTCAACTTCAGTTTCACGCGCCAATCCTTCTGTTTTTATTAACAACAATAAACTGTGTGAACACTAAACTTTTTTAAGCACAATAAAATCCTACGAAGCTTTTTCGCTCTGTTCAGTGGTAATCTTGAGTTTTACTACAAAGTTTTGTATCTTATAATTCGCATCGGGACAAAAGTATACCGCTGTACTGTCGATTGTTTCTCAGAAAACGTCTGGTCTTTGTTGACGGAGCCAGAATTTTGGGATGTACTCTAAAAACATTTCTTATTCAAAGAGAAACATTGTGCATTTCTTTCTTGATTATTTGAGATAGTCGGTGTATCATAGTTGAAAATGATGGCTTAATTTTTGTTGTTCAATATTATCTTGAATAACCATCGTTTGTTTATTTTCTTGTAAATTTTCTTGTTGCAATTTGTGTTGTGCTTGTATTAAAATATCATTCACACCAATAGCGTAAAGTTCAAGACCTGTTTTACGTTCTTTATCAAGAAATTCTTTATGAATTGATAATTTTCGTTTCTCAATATCGAGATTTTTATCAATTAAGTGAAATAATATTTCTTCTTGCTTTCCAATATCATCATCTAATTTATTTGCAATTTGTTCTAAATCTTTATTATTGTCCGAACATTTTTTAATAAATAATTTTTCATCATCAATTATTCGTTTTTGTTCAATTAATTTTTGACATATATGAACAAATGTAGTTTTCTTCTGTTCAATATTTGATTTTAATTTTAATAAATTATCATTTATATTGTTTATTGTATCATTTGTTAATTTTTCATCATTTTGTATTTTACATAATTTTTCTTCGAATTTTGTTATAACTTTAGATGAGCGTTGTTCTTGTTTTAATAAATTTTTTAATTTTTCTGTCATACTAGCCTGTTTCTGTTCCAAATGTTGTTTGTGTACGACTGTTTGTTGGTAGTCTTTTTCATATTGTTTCAATCGTTGGTGCTTTTGATTTTTGTTTTGTTCAGCATTTAATTTATTTTCTTCTAGTGTTTGTATTGTTAGATCATATTTTTGAATATCTTGCTGTTTTTGTCTTAATTCATGTTTAATATTACTTAATTGTTCTTGTTGTTCTCCTAATTGTTGTTTCAACTGTTGAACATCTGCTTTTTTAGCTTCTTGTAATAATTCTTCATTTCTAATATCACGTTTTAACGATTGTTGCTGATTATCATTATTATTACTTTCTTGTTTCAAATTGTTTATCTTTTCCTTTTGTCTATCAACCAATATTTCTTGTTCCTGTACTTTTTTACAGAAAATATCTAAATCAGTTTGCTTATTTTCTAATTGAAAATTTTTTTCTTGCATTTGAACACTCTGTGATTCTAATGTATCGTTTATGCCTTTGAACCGTGTTTGTATATCATTCAATTTTGTACTGTATTGTTGATGTTTTGCTTGTTCTTTTTCATAATCATTTGTAATTAATATTAACTTTGATTTTTTTTGTTGTATTTCTTTATTATAACGTTTTTGTTCTTGCTCACTTTTTTTTTGTTCGATCATTTGTTGACTATACTCAAAGGTTATTTGATCTAGATTTTTTTTTATTTTTGAACGTAATTCATTATGATGTTCAAGTTTTTGTATTTGATCTTTAACTTCACTTTTTTTTGTTAAGTAGCTTTGATTTAATCTTATTACAGTTGCTTTTACTGGATTTAATTTAGTTTCAATATCTTTAACTGAATTTTGACTATCCGTTAACTTTTGTTGCGCCTTTAATAATTTGTCTTTCGCTCTAGTTAATTCTCTTTCACGTGTTTTACTGTCAGATGTCATAAATGTTTCAGCTACATCCGCACCTTTTATAATATAAGGTATAATTGAGCCTATTGTTTTGAGCAATTGAACTTCTGGCATAGCTATCGTTGATGCGACTGTTAAAGCTGCTGAGAAATTCTTGAGATTAAATGGACTTTCGGCTGCATCTTGATAGTCGTCTAATTTTTGTTCAGCAACATCTACTTCGTTTTGACAATGATTCAATTCTAGTTGAGCTAACTCAAGATCTTTTTTCGCCGATCTTAATTCTGAATTTAAACTACGTTGTTCACTTTCAGCAACAGCAAGCTGTTGTCGTTCTTCTTCTTCAGCTTTTTGCATTGATTTCAGTAATTCACTCATTGATTTCCGTTCACTTTCTGCTTGTTCATATTCTAAGATAACAAAAAAACGTAGTAGGCAGTTATTCTATCTATATGTCGTTAGAAGAGGTATTATACATTTTGTACACCAGAGTGTAACAGCAAACAGGAGATTCTGCTAAATCTAAGATTATAGTAACTTTTTCATAAGAGTTATAGCTGCTGAGTGAGCAAATGTTTGATTACATGGCCATATAACTGGGTTTGCAACAAGGGGTAAACAGCTGATTTTGACTCATTTTTGATTTCAAGTGATTTTAGTTGATTTGGGATGATTTGAAAATCAGGTAAAACCATCTAAACTATGATTTTTAATGATTTTACCTGATTTTCAAATCATCCAAAATCAACTAAAATCACTTGAAATCAAAAATGAGTCAAAATCAGTTGTTTAGCCCTTGGTTTACAACAATTTGGATTAGTAATTCAAGCCTTCACGTGAAACTTAGTCATCAAAGTATGCTTTGCGATTGGGTTTAGTGTGGTTGTACTCAGCGCATTCCTGCGTTGCGCATCATTGCGACTCTGACTCATTGTCTTTTACTGGTGTGAAGCGAATCTTTTGCTTGAATCAATCTTGTCTTGGCTTATGTGCAAACATGAACATGAGATAAAGATGAATGCAGAGATGGGCGAGTCACTACTTTTTCGTGCCTGAGTCGAGTCCGAGTCAGTAGGCTTCGAGTTCAGGTCAGAGTCCGAGTCGCAATAAAAATTGACTCGAGTCACCTCGAGTCAGTTTCCAGAGGTAAACTTCCTCCTGATTCACTTTTCCACGAACAGTTTGCGGCTCTTTTTTCTATCTCTTGTTGATCTTGTCCTTCTCTAGGTCTTCAGTCTTCTCATGTGACGAGATGTTCTACTTAGAATATTCTCGGATCTCTCTCGCTCTCCCTTCTGGTATATAACGAATAATAATAAATACCGTCATAATAATCCAAAGATACACATGACTGACTCGAAAGTGACTCGAGTCAGTTTATCAAGTCCATCGAGTCTTTGCCTCGAGTCTAAGTTCGAGTCCGAGTCACAGAAAAATGCGACTCGAGTCAGAGTCGTGACTCGGACTCGCACATCTCTGGATGAATGGCTGATCAAACCAGTTTGGTCAAGGCAATCACGAGAAGTAAACCAGTTTAACGCCGGTTTCTCAAGATTGACATCATCAAAACGGTTTCTAGAGAGTCTGAAACAACTGAAATTTATTTCTTGCTCAAACTTTACTTGATGGACCTAAAGAAAACACTGGATATTTATTTACTTCTTTAATATCATATAAAATACACTATTTAACATTAGACTCCATTCTACGTTTCATATGTCTTGCGTGACTGTCACCACACTCTGAAAGCTAATATTAATATTAATCTACGGGCGTTAAACTGTTCCACTCCTTGAGACTGCCGTTTATTTGCTCTATAAACATTCTGACAACGGAACATTTTCAAGTGTACACCTCCGATTTTGTTCAAATCTGGTTATTTGCAAAGTTACGGAATTTACGAGAAAAGTTTAATGTTCTTTGTCAGCTAAAAGCTGAAAAAGGAAAAATTAATTTAGGACTTTTCTTGTAAATTTTGTAACTTTGCAAAGAAAGATCGTGTAGAGCTGTAAGGCATCTCATTTTGATGCAAAACCTACGAGCTACAATCCCACCTTGTTAAGAAAACGCTGCTATGATTTCCGAAGATTCCTAGAAAACCGGTTCTCGAGAGGGAATCGTTGGGCCTATCCGCCCAAACGGCTATCATATTCGTAATCAGTGCTCTCGATTTCATATAAACAGCCAGGTTTGAACAAAACCAGAGATGGATATTTGGAAATGTTCCCTCGTGAGTATGAAATAATTCTGGATCAAATGATTTGGCTACGTATACTGGTTTACTGACCCTGTATATACTAGGTGCCCCAGACCGTTTTGGTACCAAACGGTTTAATGACCGAGAGGTTTGGGTAACCAGTATATATTGGGTCAGTAAACCAGTGTGTGTGTGTACTGATACTACTATCGGCTCCAAAATACAAGATTAGTGCTTATTTCTTGAATATCTCCGGCTTCTTAGATCCTCTTCATAGTTAGCAACCTGCGGAAAACTAGACACATAACCACATATTCAGGACAAGGAAAACTAGACATTGTAAAAATAAATATCGAAAAAATTTCTGAAGCGAGTTTTTCAGTGTTTTTCTGGAAAACTAGCTTGGGTTTTCCGAAATTCAGATAGGAATGTGTTGATTTTTTTCCACAGACTGATAGCCCGAGGTCTCTTCTTTACGACCTAAAACAAGAGGCTCTGAATTTCGGAAAACCCAAGCTAGTTTTCTAGAAAACCTCTGGAAGACTAGCTTCAGGAACTTATCCGAAATTCATTTTTGCTTATAGAAATATATGATCAGGTGTCTAGTTTTCAAAACTGAAAATTGCAAGTTGCTATCTATGAAGATGACGGAGATATTCTAGAAATAAGCACTAATCTTGTATTTTGGATCCGATAGTAGTGCATACCTAGCTCTGAAAAATGTGAACATTGAGGGAAAAGGTTTTAAAAATAATTAAGAAATCCAATCGGCTCTTTGATTGCATCATTTCGCCTGATTTATGGAAAGATTCTGCATTATGTCGAGAATATATAACAGTTTGTCGTTTTGAAATACTTCTGTTCTATTCACATCTCGTCAGTTGTTCTTATTTTAAAAGCAGTTCTTAAAAATTTTCATTATTTAAACTCATACTCACTTAATTTGCATTCATCTTGTTCTCGTTTTAATTTATCAACTAACGCATTCTGTTCTGCTAATTTCTCAGTTTGTACATTATATTCCTGTTGTAATGTATCTAATTCTAACTTTAATTGATTCAATATCAAAATTTGTTTTTCAATATTTTCTGTTGCTTTTCTCAGTAATAGTTGAGCTTCATTCAGACTTCGTTCAATATTAGCTTTTTCTAGCAATAACTGTTTCTGTTCATTCAACAACTGTTGTTGTTCATGTTTTAATCGTTTTCGTTCATTTTCACATCGTTCATATAGATCTTGTAGTTTTTGTAATTCCTGTTCATCTAATGACAATTGTTCTCGTTGTTTTGACATTTCATCATTTAATTTCACCACTTCATTCTCTAATATGTTCACTTTTTCTTGTAATTTCTGTATATTTTGTTGATAACGATCAATATCACTTGTTTTCTGTTTAATATTTTGTTCTTTCTCTTTCAATATTTGCTGTAATGTTTTCAGGCGATTTTGAAGTTGTTCTTCTTGATGTTTTAAATCTATCTGTTGTCGTTTTAATTGTTCTTGTTCATGTTTCATTTCATTCAATTGTTCATCTAATTGTTTCATTTCATTTTCATTTGCTAATAATTCTAGTTTCAGTTCTTGAATCACATTTTCACATTCATTTATTTTTATTTGTTCTTGTTGTTCACTCGCTTTTAATAATTCAATTCCACGTTTTTGATCAACAATTAACTGTTGTAAACTCGTCAATGATAATTGTAAATAATTTTCTCGTTTAACATTTCCGTTTTCCTGTTGTTTCAGTTCAATTAGTTTTTGTTCTAATTGTTCTTGTTCTTTTGTCTGTTCATTTAATAGCTTATTGCAATCATTGATCTTTTGTTCATACAGTTGCATTTGTTCCTGTAATTTTTGGATATGTATCTGTTCTGTTTTACATGCTGCTTCAAGTTCTACTTTTTTATGATCTAATGAATGAATAAAAAAAGCATGGTTATATCAAACACCAAAAAAATGATGGTTAATGTTCTAGAGGGCCACAATCAAAATCAATATCAAAAATCTTCGGCAACTTTGATTGTAAAGGTGAAACAACAGATATTTTTCACATGACTAGTAGCTACTTGCTTAAAAGAAAGTTTAAGACTAGCTATACTTGCTCCATGTTTGCGAATTTGCTTGAATAACTAACTACTCATCCAAACGGTTAGAAAAGATTGGTGTAAATTCTCATGCGGTTTTACGAGTGACAGTTTTTATCCAGAACAAAGGCTAATTTTTGTTAAATTCTGACACATTCCAAGCTGAAATGTTTGGTTCGACATTAAGCCGTACGCTTGATTCATGCATGGAAATAGTTCGCAGTGCATGGCTTCACTTGTTTAGATATCTTATGTAAAATATTTTAAGACGTTTCATGTCAAGTCCAAGGGCTCATAAAAGCATGTATATAAGCTGATTCAAGGATGTACTGGGTGCTTCAAAAGTCCGTGCGAAAAGTAAATGACAATAATTCTTCAACCGTTGAATCGAATTACTCGCCGTTTTCTGCATTTGATAGGAAATTCACTAAAGTTTGATTTCATATGTATGGAATAATACTTCAACAAGCGTAAAATCAAATTATTTTAAAAAATCATGTAAATCGCTTGAACTGCCCAAATGCTATTCACCTTTTTGTCATAGCGGCTTTTTCGAATATCCTGTACAGGAAACTTAAAAGAAAGGAATTTTAACATGACATTTAGCCCATAAAAACGTTGAATGGTCCTTAGAGTGTTCTGAAAGTTTCAGGCAAAACGAAGGGTTCTTTCCTGAGATATTGCATTTTCAAAAAATGTTCATAAGTCACAATAAGATCAAAAAACTTCAATGTCTTCAAAATTGAAAATCTTAGAAAATGACCATCTGCTATGGATGAAACTGTCAAGATATTCTAAGGAACGATTAGACCTATTTATGGACAAAATTTCATCTTGATATTTCTTTCCTTTCCTTCAGTAGCTAATCATGTTTATTTTTTCTACCGGACTTTTGGAACACCCGGTAAACAAGAGTTCACAAATTCCCACGTATGGGTTCTAAAAGATCAAGAGACAATACTCTTCCGTCTTAATGCGTTTAAGAATTAAGAAAAGATTATTCGCTCTTTCTGAAATTTTGTGTTGATAGTGAATTAACGATATTCTTTTTCCTGTGGATCGCGTGCCAAAGCTGGTTTTACAGGAGAACCCATGCACATCTATATTCTCTACGGAAATAGGTATCTTTCAGAACGATTTCGAAAACAATCAAAAATTCATTCATCCGATTTAATGATCGAAGTAAATTCGTTGTTTTCCCTACTTCATTCTGCAAAGGACGGGGACGATAAGACCGCAAATCGGCCCATTCCCAAATCTATCGTCTAGTAACTCATCTAATGCAGTTTTTGTTCCCAACGAACCCTATCATATTTTTAGACCATCAAAATCCCTTTCAGTGCCCCTGGAAACATTTCGGCACAAAACAATCTTCCTTTTTCACTTTTACATATTTGACTCTTGTTATTGCTGAATTTTTATTGCTCTCCTTTTATTTGCTCTTTTATTTTCTTTCTTCTTGTTCTTTTTAAAGATTAATCAGGACATATAATGTAGTCATTTAGACCACGATTTTACTTGTTTGGTCTTTTTTTGTTTCTTGTTTCATTTTCTTCAGTAAAAAGCTTAAACCAACAACCTTCCGTTAAATGAAATTACCCAAAGCAATTTCATTATTTGCCTACAGCAAATATCAAGTAGTATACACCATTTGACACAGAATTTTACGAGCTACAAGATGCTATATCAGATAATCTTAAGAAATTGTGTCTCGGTAGTGCAAGATTGAAAATGCTGAGTAGCATCTCAGGAAACAGGCAGATTAAGGTCATTAATGTTAAAAATGCTCCTTTATTTTGCCGTTAACCAGTCCATTTCATACACCATTCGATAGAGAATTTCACGGGCTACAAGATGCTATATCAGATAATCT